ACATTGAACTTCTTTGATTTATATGTTGACGTACAAAGAATGCCTCCAACTTTAGATCCATTTAAATAAAGATCATTTGGCCACTTGATTTTAACATCTATGCAGGGTAACCCCTGGAATGGAAAGTGTTGAAATAAAATGTATTAAGGGCCCACAATCCCAAACAATCAGGAACAAATTAACATTGAGACAAATCATGCATTCGATTAGGAAAACTGCCAAATACAAAGTAAACAAAACCATCCTTAATGCTGCGTACAACTTGACAGTTTGTCTCAGAATCATATAAAGGACCATCAGTTTCCACAAGTGCTAAAATTTTCAGTTTATTTAGTCAACAACTTCCGCATATTTATATCATGTAAATAGAAAATATATATACTTAAATTTGTTAACCTCACTACAGCTTTCACTCATCAAATTCACTGGCAGGCTAGGTGTCAAGCCAGTACTTCAAAACAAAGCACTTACATTTTTGTCACAGATATCCTTGATTGCCTCTGTGATAGCCAGGGAAACCACATACTGAACTAAAGGAACAATTCGTCCATCCTCCATTTGCAAAGTAAAAGAAAACATGAGGAAAAATAAATAACAGAATAAATAAATAAACGGAGAAGAAAAAAAAAACCTAATAGGAGAAATCGAAGAATCACGAGACGAGATCGAAGCAAAAATCAGTGAAACGGGAATGGAAATTGAAAAAAGAAGAAAAGAGGGGTTTGAAAAATTACCTGTTGGACATGGCGAAGGGAGTGAGAATGGAGGAATTAGAATTAGGAAATGGTGGAGAAGGAAGAGAGAAAGTTAGGAAGGTGGAAACCTAAGGCGAGCCATTTGAACCTAGGAAGAGAGAAAAGAGGGGTAAAATTTTTGTGTTTTGGCGCTCCGTTAAATTGCAATTGCAAATGTACCACTCTCCACTCACCAAAACATGTATGGGTCCGTTAAATTTACTATATTCTTCAATTTTTTAAAAATAATAATAATCATTGATATATTTTTTTAAAGTAATTACTCACAACTATTATTTTAATTTATTTTTTATTTATCTTTTAAAAATTAAGAGGTATCAAGTATCTTCTTTTTTTTACTAGCCTAAATAAACACTTTTATTTTATTTTAGTTTCTAACATATATAATATCTTCGTTTTGATTTCTAAATAATCATGAAAATTTATAAAGACTCAACTTGAAAATTTTAAGTAATTTAAATAATTTTAATCACTAAATCACCATGTTCATTTAATTAATAACTTACAAATCTAATTATATATTATCTTTAATATAAATTTTACTCAATTCATTAAATCTCTAAACTCCTTTATATATATACTAGCAAAAAAAGAAGATACTTCATGCTTCAAATAAGTCTTCTTTTAAATATAGATATATTTGTGGAGGTAGTGAACAAATTAGCAATTTCAAAAAAACTTTCATGAAAATTTTTTCACTCCTTTATTAATTATTATCATATGTTTTATGTAATTTTTATAAAGGATTAAAGCAAAATAATGTGTACACCAAAAAGAGGAATTATTGTAAGATAATTCTTCAAGAGGGACTAAATTGTATAAATCAAAAGCCATGTATGTATAATATAAAAAGGCTACAAATACCTTGAGTAAATCGGAAAATAAAAAAAAAGTAAATTGCATCATATATCTGTTAGAGGCTAGTGCCATCAATTTATCTATGTGGCTGACTCACCTAATGTCACATGGATTCATTATTTATTGTAAACCATGAATGTAAAACCCTAAACCAAATATTAAAGTTGTGACCAAGTGGTCAAGAGTAGTTAGAATTCAGAAAATGATTAACACAATTCAATATGTAATATAATAATGTGAATAATAAGTTTCAAAATCATTTTTAATTATTCTCTACTGTAATGCCATTTCACTATCAAATTTAATTATTAAGACAAAAGAAGGAACAAACAATTCTGAAATAAGATGGCAGAATCTCAAAGTCTTAAATATTAATTAAAAGAAAAATTAAAAAAATAAAAAAGAGAGAGAAACTTTTTCTATATTCCATGATAATGTTTCACTCATGCGGCAAAGGGGGGAAAAACAGAACCCTTATTCCATCATGTTTGGATCAGAAGTAAGCGGAACAATTCAATAAATAACCATTTGTCATTGAATTTAGCATATACTGACATATTAGTTTTTAATCTTAGAAAAGGTTAAATAAGTCTTTAAAAGTATAAATTGATAATTATATTAAAATAAAATTTAAAAAATGTGTGATTAAAATGGTAACATTAATATATATTCAAAGATTAAAATTTAATAAATTATTAAATTTAGAAAATTATTTGATATTTTAAGAATTTATTTAACATTTTCGTAGTTCTAAGTCTAATGTGATTATGCTTACTACTTGAAGAAAAACACTAAAATGACTATTTATTCGTAATAATTTCGTTTTATATGATTGGAATATAATAAATAAATCATTTTATTTAAATTTAAAGTAACACGAGACTGCCGTGGAGTTAAAGGAATCAAAATATATATGTTCATCCATATGAATTAAAATACAAGAAGTTGTTAGGAAATCATATGTGGATACAGTGCATTCCAAATATGACATACACACCAAAGTGTTTCGTTCCACATGTAGTATATGATATATTCTTCTTAATGACACACCTACATAATTCTGCAATTTGATCCATATTAGATCCTCATGCATGATATCTTAAAACGATTTGAAAATGAGCAGCTTTTGACTTATTGATTTATGGAAAGTACTTTTTTATGTACTTTGAGATGTTAGGATTATAATAGAATTTACTATGCAATTACAATGAGAATGATTCAGAAGATTGATCAATACTATTAGGTTCATTAGGAGTGTGGATCGATTCTAAATATGAAAAATAGATGTTAAGGGGTGAGTAGTGGAGAGGTTCTATAAATGGGTTATAAACAATGTTAACTACAGATAAATATTATACAAATATTTTATTTTGTATATTTTATTTTTATTAGGACAAATTACATTGACACCCCATGTGATTTGTTGAAATTTCACACCATATCCTATGTTTTTAATGCCTGCAATGTAATGTGTGTCGTGTGTCGTGTGTAATAGAGATATACCATGTATATGTAACGTGTTTCAAATAATGAAAGGGACTACCGTAAATATTAAAAAGACAAGAAGGGTACGTGTCAAGTCACAAGGAATATCAGTGTAATTTGCATTTTTTTTTTAATTAGGGTGTGTTTAGAAGAACTTATTCAAGTCTTTGAAAGTAATTTGAGATTAAAGTCTTTAAGAGTTGCGTGGCATCCACAAGCCCAAAACTTCACATTTGTCTACAAGCAAGAAATCTCACATATCAATATCCAAATTTCACTATTGCCTGGTATAAAAAACATCGATGATTTAATTTCACAACTTCATGTGGTCCTGGGCACATGGTATCCACGCAGCAGTTTCAAACTTACTAAAGTCATGAGGCTCGTCCCAGCATTAGCCAATTGCATTGAAATGACACAAATGAAAATGAAGATTCAAACCATTTTATTTTTATCTCAAGAACAAACACTACACAAACGGGAATTTTTGTTTCAATCACACTATCATAGGAGCATTGCATAGGCTTACATAACCCAGTAATCCCAAGTTCATTTCTCACAGTAGTATAAAAAAAAGCTACAACAGAAGAACTAACTCTTCTAAAATTTTCTCCAGATAGCCTTTTTTTATACAGTTCATAATAAAATAATCAACTCACTTTAGCAAATAAACAATCCAAAAGTAAAATCACAAGTTTGATCAACAGAAGAGTCAATGTCAATCAGACCAACACAAATTCATCTTAAGTTGAAGTAGTAGAATGTTCAGCACTAAGATAAAAAATTTATAAAAAAAAAAAAAAAACGTTAAACATACCAGCGTAATATCCCCGCGGATTCGAATCTGGATACAGTGATTCAAGGCGCTTCACAGGACCCCATACATAATCTTCTATAAGAGGGACTCTGCAGCACAAATGACAAGAAAAGATTTTGAAACCCAAAAAAACAAAAAAACAAAAATGCACACACACAAGTAAAGCATAAAAGCTCAGCCAAGGAACCGACAGATCCAAGCCAAGGAACAAAAATCAACATTGGACTAATTTCCGTGAACAAAAACAAAAACAGCATCTGCATCTGACTAACCCATATGCGGAAAATGACACCGAATGCACACCCTTGAATGTAACACCCTTGTCATTTTCCTGAGCACAGCCAAAATTTTGAAAAGCATACACTACCTAGAACATAGGGGTCACCGCAGCAATTCAAAGAAAACCCCCACTTGAAGAAGTTGAATAGAAAAGGAGAAATTGGAAAAGAAAAAGGTGAGATCTTTGTGTGATTAGATGATTACATTCGTGGGGAGAATTGGTTTCTCAAAGATGGGTCTCCAAGAGAACAGGGAAGGAGGTGTCGTGGCCAGCGAGAGAGTCTGGTATGTGTGCTAGGGCAAGAGCGGGAAGGAGTGGAAAGCTGTGTTGTTAAATTTCGGATAAATGAAATTTAATTGTCAAATTTCAGAGGGAAGTAAATGGGTTGGGCTTGGTTTCTAATAATGGGTTTAGGAGCCCAAAAGTGGAAAAAATCCATAAGCCCAATTCAATATTAAATCAAAACATTATAAAAATTATAACTCTAATCATAATAAAATTTCTCTAGTATTTATAAAAATATTATATTTTTAATATTTTTTATTTTTATTTTTTTGAATAATGTATCAACAAAGGAAATTTTTTTATTAGCAAGTGAAAAAGGTAACCTAAAATTTTGTCGCCCATAAACTTTCTTATTTTTTTAAATTTTACCTTCATTTCTAATCACACTTTTTCTTTTTTTTTTTGACATTTTTTTAAGTACTTATGTGTGATGCTTATATGTATTATTTTTTAATGTTATTTAGTTACTTTTTATATTTTTATTTTACTTTCAATCAAAATTTAATTATTTTTATTTCTTTCTTATACGTGTTAATTTTCTAATTATTTTTTTGAAAGTTATTTAGTTACTTTTTATATTTTTATTTTACTTTCAATCAAAATTTAATTATAATAATTTTTCTTTTATTTTTAAAATGAAATAACATCCTATAAGTATTTAAATAATTATACATCCAACACTTTAAAATTATATAATTACTTTTTAACATATTCAAATACAAAAGTTTATTAAATTTTAAACACTTATAATATTATAAGATCTTATCATATAAAAACTTATTATATAAGATCTTAAAGAAGTTATTTCTTAAAACATATCATTATTCATTGATCTTATTACATAAAAAGTTAAAATAATTCTTATAAATATTCTCATTAAAGAAATGTCTCTAAAAATGTTTTCACACATTTGTGTTTAATATAGAGATTGATTAAAACACAACTCCACAATAATTATAAAAATAAAAATAAAAAAGGTCGTTGTAACCAGCTTATTTTATAATTGGAACTAACAATTTATTTTTCATTTGAAATTCTTTTAATGCAGGTGTCACGAGATCAGCTCCCATACCCTAAGAAAAAATGGGGGAAAAAAAAAAATAAAAAGACACACAAATGAAAATCATGAAATTGTAAAGTTGATAGTCGTGTACTCGTGTTGTCCTTATAACTCACTTGCATGTGAAATTACCCTATGAGTTTATGTTTAAGATATTCAACTTTATTTATTTTGCTAATGAGTTATTTCAGATTAAAAATTAACAATGTTTAATTTATATTTATACTATTAATAAAAGTAATATCAATTTTCATAATTTTTCTTAATGTTAACTTCTATATTTATAGATTTGTCCTTATTTTTTAGTTTGTAATTTTTATTTTCCAAACTATTAATAAATAACTATTTTACTTCTACAATTATTTAAAATCACTCAAGCTTTTCAACTATTAATCATTTACTTATATTTAACTTCAATTACTTTTATCTTTTATTTTTTATTTTTAAATAAAATATATAGAGATATAAAGTTTTTCTTTTACATCAGTATTGATAATATGAATATTTTTTAAATGATATATATAGAAACATAAAGTTAATCTAATTTTTTTCTTGTATGTCAAGTCTTAATTAAGTTAGATTTATATTCAAATAAATGATTCTATTAAAAAGTAAATGAGTCAAATAAATCCGCCCCATTGACACCTTTATTGAAAGGAATCTAACACCATTTCATTTAGAATAGAAAATTGATTCTCATCTTTTTACATAAAAATATGTTATAATATTAATGATTGAAATTCGAGTTCAGTCGGACCAACTTATTGCTTGATTGAAATTAATTTGAACAAATATTTAATTACATTTAATATTTTAAATTAATTTTATAAGTGAATTCTATTTAACTTTAAAACTAGGGGTGGCAAAATGGGCCGTGGACCCGCCATCATTTCAGCCCGCCAACCCGCCAAGCCCGCCCCGCCAAACCCGCCAACCCGGCGGGCCAAAAATATATTTCCCTTTATCTATATTACTATATATTTAACTTTTTTTTTTTCATTCATTTTCTCAATCTCTCTGTCTCTCTCTATATATATATAGAGAAAAACAAGTTATACTAACACTAATACCAGGTATAACTTTTATATATTAAGTATTACACACCGCTCGATAATTAATGAATAATAATATATATATTTAATTAATCTTTATTTATATACTTACCTTTATAATTAACAATCTACTTATTTTTATATTTTATGAAAACACATTTAAAAAAAATGGAAGTGTAAAATAAAATAACAGAGATGCACACTTGAGCCTTTTATCAAAACATTCAAAACTTTCTTGGATTCATTCGCTAAAACTATAAACTCTACCAAATGAGCACGGTAAACTCATAACTCACGGCCGATTGGATCGACCTGCTCTGATACCACTTAATGTAAAGCCCGATTCTAACGCCCAATTTATATAATAATAATTATATATTTTCTTATATAATATTTTCACAATTATATCGTTAACAATACTTTTTTTTTTTAATAAAGATAAAGATAAAGAACAATCATATTTTGTGAATTTAATACATGATATATCGTTCTAAAATATTTACAATAATGTATTATTTTACACAATATATTTTTCTTTCACTTTTATTACAATATTTACATTGATAGTGAAAATAAATTTACAAAAATTGTAATAGATTCATCAAATAGCCTCCACATTCCAATTCCTTCCAAGGAATACCACAGCTATATCAACTGCAAAATGATCTGGAATCCAAAGTAGATCCATCTATTTTGTAATATATTTAATTTATAAAAACAAAGAAAAGAAAGGAGTAAGAACAATATCCAATAAATAATAAACTATTAATTAATGTTATACTAGTAATGTCACGTGTCTGTATAATTTGGAAAGATCAACTTATTATGGATAATGGACTTAAATATTGGTCACCACTTAGGCGCTTTGTTTAATCACTATTCTGGATCAAGGGATTAGTTTCACAGTTTCGTACGTTTATTGGAATATTTGATTAAAGTTGGCATTCTGTATTTTTATAATTTTTTTTTCATTTTTTTATTTAAACATAAAAAATATATATATATATATATTATTTTTTTTCAAAATATTTTTTGGGTAAACGGGCCGGCCCGCCAGCCCGCCAA